AGTCGAAGCCAATAGTCTTATCAAACACACAATTTAGTTGCTTCCATTGAAATAAATAAAAGGGGCCTTTCTGACATTTAAACCTACATTATCTTTCAAATGATTTATTTTCATTTCAGGGTAATGGATCAACACAAAATGTCTAAAGAAGAATGGGAACAAAGTATAACAACATGGTGGCATGAGCATCGAGGTATGCTAAGAGAAGATTCTATGATGGAATATTTGAAAATCGCTCAAGATTTAGAAATGTATGGGGTCAATTACTTCGAGATTCGAAATAAAAAAGGAACTGAATTATGGCTAGGCGTTGATGCTTTGGGCCTTAATATTTATGAAAAGGATGACAAGTTAGTATTACACACTAATTATGCATTTCAAACAGAAAATTCCTAATTGAGTTAACAATAGAATAAGGACCAATAGTCTAACTTTAAAATATGTTTACTCAATATAACTATATATATATATATATACATATATATATATATATATATATATATATAAATTTTTATCAATATTCTTTTATAAAATAATATGGTATTTCAAATAGTATTATTCTTTTACAGACTTACTCCAAAAATAGGTTTCCCCTGGTCAGAAATACGAAACATATCTTTTAATGATAAAAAATTTATAATCAAGCCAATAGATAAAAAAAGCACCAGACTTTGTATTTTTTGCGCCACGAGTACGCATTAACAAACGTATTTTGGCTTTGTGCATGGGTAATCATGAACTCTACATGAGAAGGCGCAAACCAGACACTATTGATGTTCAGCAAATGAAAGCTCAAGCGAAAGAAGAAAAAATTGCTAAGCAGCTCGAAAGGTAATTATATATTATTAGAAACTTATAAAAATGGTTAATATTTGTTGTAGCTTCAGCCTTTTTATTTGATTAAAGCATTGTTTTCTCTTATATTGATGTACTTATATCCACATTGATTTTTACATTTATTGTTAGTGGATATATGGTAGTCATCTTCCACATTCATTTGATTCACAGAGTATGTACAACATACTTCATATATTTATGCAGTAATTAATTTTATCATTATAGAGAGAAGCTACAGCTAGCCTTAGCTGCTCGTGATAGAGCTGAGAAGAAACAACAAGAGTATGAAGACAAGCTTAAATCTATGCAAGAAGAAATGGAACGATCACAGGTACATAAATATATTACAATTTGTGAATGTAATTAATGTTTTAATTCAAATATTCTGGGGAATTTAAACAGTAGTTTTAGTGATGTATGATCAACATACTACATTTTGTTACCACACTCCAGAATACTTTTTTATTTAATTTTTCCAAAAATAATTTTGTCACAAAACTTCATTTGCAATTTCCTCGCGAATATAGTTTTTATGGGTATATAACATACAATAATAACTAGGTTAGTTTTAATTGTCAATGTTACTCTTAAATAAAACTTCAAGTTTTAAATTGCCCATTTTAATTTTGCATAATCAAAAAGCAATTATAGTGATAGTTGTTCTATTTTTGTATTACAAGCATAATATTTTATCAAAGAAATATTATTAGTTAAAATTGTCAGTATTGTGTAAAATTTGACCTTAATTTACATATTTAATTATTATTCAAAAAAAGTCGATTTTAATTTTTTTTATTTGATTTAAAATATAAGTTTGAAACTGAGTTGACTAATTTTGCAAGATCATGTAAACTGTCTCTTCTCAGTTCGAATCTTCCTGAATCGAAAGAAGATCAATGAATTTTAATATATTTACTTCATTCAATCAAAAGGATAAAATTAAAAAAAAAGATGAAACTATAAAGTGAATTACAACTCATGTTGATCAAATGTAACTTAACAAAATGTCATTGCATATGATATTATTTCAATATAATACAATTATATTATTGATCAATCAAAAACTTAATTGATAGTGGAAGTCATTCTTTATATACAAGACTTGAAAAATGAAAAAACTGTAAATTATTTGATTGAAATATAAATATGATGTGCATTGTAATTTGTACAAAATATTTGTATCCCTAGCATTACAAGTCAAAATTTCATAAAGTAAAATATATTGATGGTTATATATTTTTCATTCCTTAGGCTAATTTAATAGAGGCACAAGATATGATCAGACGTTTAGAGGAGCAACTGAAACAATTGCAAGCATCTAAAGAAGAATTAGAGCAAAGGCAGAATGAATTGCAGGCAATGATGACCCGCCTTGAGGAAACAAAGAACATGGAAGCCGCAGAGCGTGCAAAATTAGAAGAAGAAATTCGTGCAAAACAAGATGAAGTGCAACGCATTCAAGAAGAAGTTGAAGCTAAAGATACAGAGACTAGGAGATTACAGAATGAAGTTGATGAAGCCAGGCGTAAAAAAGTAAGAACATTTTTAATCCTTTGAAATGCATTACAACTGTTTGAAAATAAAAAAGCAATATCTTTACTCAATATACCACTTTTGTTGCTGTTGTTCCATAATATTTATTCTTATGAATACTGCACTTCAACTGTTTAACATTATTTTTGATTTTGATATACTGCATGTTTTTTATAAAGTTTACTAATTGGAATTAATTTTTGGAATTCAATTCACATCTAATTTCCTTCTGTTTTAGTTGATAATATAGATTTTAAAATCTTCAATCAATCTTTCTAGTTTAATATAAATTAATTGCATACTACTGTTATGTTTGTTTCAAGAAATTAAAGAAATTGTCGAAAAATCATAAATCATAATTATTTGTTTTTGACTTTTGGATTCGTGAAAAGCTATTAAATATTAGGTTTGTCATTTAAACATTAGTTCATTTTTCCAGGAAGATCTTAGGAAAAAATTTGAAATTATTTTTGTTTTCCCTTATAAATTATAAATCATTAAGTATTCATTCATTATGTTGTCATTGCTATTAATTTTGATATTTTTGAGCATGTTATACCTTTGGCTCAGATTATTACTATGGGGTATACTTTATTTTATTATTAAGACAGTTGCAGCAGTAGTTGAAATTAAAAAAAAATCAAATTGATGTCATTATTGAATTATTATTTTATGATATAATTGATGATTATAAAATTATTTTTATTTAAACTCAACTAAAATTTTTACAGGATGAAGTAGCCGCTGCCTTGTGGCTGCAACATCAACTCCTCAACATCACCATGTGATGGAAGAAAATGACAACGAGAGTGATGAGTTACAAAACGGAAGTGGAGATATCAGTCGTGACTTAGATACTGATGAGCATATTAAAGATCCGGTAGAGGATAGACTCACTCTAGCTGAAAGGAATGAACGTTTGCACGATCAATTAAAGGTAGGAAGTTGACTGCATCTTATAATTTCCAATAATTGATGTAGCAGTTTAAACTTTGTTATTACAATATTTTTTTCAGTGTCCTTTTTGTGATTGATTTTATATTTAGCCTGCATTACTTAATATAGATTAAGTTAATGTAGAATTCTAACAGGTTTTAGAAGAAAATCATTGATGAGCAAATGCTAAATAAAAAATAAAACAATAGTTGTGAATACTAGAATATATAGTATGGCAATTGTTGGACTTTAATAATTTCAGTTGTCATTTTTACTATAATACTTTTTTCTGACTTAAATGGTTCTTAGAATTTTTAATCTTTTTTATAATTATATATTCCATTTATATTAAAATTCTTTTATAAATACTATTAAAACTTATCTGTTAAATTTTCTACATCCTGTTTTTGTAGGTTTTTTATTTACATTACTTTATTTATATTACTTTAATTTAATATACTTCAATTTTTGTTCATAGGCACTTGAAACAAGATTTAGCTCAATCTCGAGATGAAACTAAAGAAACTGCAATGGACAAGATTCATCGTGAAAATGTCCGTCAAGGTCGCGATAAATACAAAACATTAAGAGAGATTCGTAAAGGCAATACTAAAAGACGTGTAGATCAATTCGAAAATATGTAATTTTGTTAATATACATGTCTTTAATGAGCCATAAAATGAAAAGATTTAATCTACTATAAAATATATATGTATATACTAAATATGTGCATATATATACACATACAAAAAAGTTTGTAATTTATCATTGTTATAAATTAAGTAAAAAAATTAAAAAAAAAACATTAAGATAAAATCCTTAAGTATTTTTTAATCTAATTGTTAAGTATTATTGATTATCACATGGCAAGATTTGTAAAAAATGTTTTTCATCTTTGAATTGACCAATAGTATATTTTTAGTTCAGTATTTTATTGCTTATGAAGCCTTTGTATTTTGAAATATGCCAGGTATTTTAGAAGTAATGTAATTTATAACATCATGCTCGATATTTGATACGAAATTCTTGTATCTTTAAATTAACTGATACGCTAAGAGCGGTTCATGAAAATACTTTAGTAGTTTTTTTTTATTGAATTAATCACATTTCATGATTAACAGAAACTTTAGTAGTACTTACATGTTACAACATATTTAGTAAGAGCTTAATGCTGCATTTATATATTTGTTTGTATAAGTTTTAAATAATAAAATTAAATAATTCTGGTCTTGAAATTTGGATCATAAAAAGTTTGAAGCAATATTATATAAATAAAGATGAAACATGAAACCAAAATTGATATAATTGTATCTCATAACAGTATATTTGCTGAATCTGATGAATTTTCTACAAATTTACTTATAATATAGAAATAAAATAGTCTTCCACAGTTGTTCTTTGGTTAATTTTCAACACCACCATATTAGGCTTATATATTAGCAAACCATACCAGTTATTTTAATCATAAACTTGTTTAATGAATATAATTTATTCTATAAACCCTCTTCTCTAAATATATTACACGTGGGCATGAATGTAGTCTACTTGAAACATATGTAAAGTGTAACTTATACCTTAATCCTGAGGCCTTTTATAATTATGTGAAAAAGTAATGTATAGATATAATATTATATATTTATATAATGTAACATTTTCCAACAATAAAATGAAAAAATTGCAACTGTTTTTATGATCTATACAAGTATTTTGATCGCTGCTGAATTGATATTATATGGGACTGCTAGAAGGTAATACATTGACATTCATTAATATTGATTAATATTACAACTAATGCTGTTTATAAGAGTATACCCTCCATTTATATGATTATTTTTATTCAATGATTATCTATTATTTTATATTGTCATCACAAAATTTCTGTTTTTTTTTTGACATTCATTAAATACATTGATAACTGATAGATTAAAAATTGCTTAATAAAATATTTCAGTAATAAATTATGAGATCAATATGTTTACTTAATTAACCTAGTTTTAATAATTACGGAGTTTCATAATTAACAAATATCGGCTTTTCAAAGACGTAACGTTCGCTTTGGTCTAGAATATGCTGTCACAAAAAAGCCCGGTACCAACTTCACGCCACTGCGATGTACGTT